CCTCAGTAGTAACTAATGCCTAGTACACGCGATCAGATAATTGGACGACTTATCATTCGCTTTTTGTTGCATGCTAGTCTCATATCGAAAATGAAGAGGTTACTAAAGCTACAAAAATTTTCACATGACAGAATACAACTTCAGAAGTGATGTATTGTAATGCATTCTTTCATCTCTGAGCATGCGTGGTCTTGGTCTTTTGATTTTTTTCAGACAAGTACTAAACTGATTAAAATTAAAATTGTTTGCGCTGTTCCCATACAAGAAAAAATTTCACACTGAAAGCGGTGTACTAATGATCAGATTAAGATACAATCCCCCCAAAAGAGATTTTTGTCATCCGATTTTCTGGTCGTGTGTACGGGGCATTACTCTTTCGATGGGCCTCACAAGCTAATTCGATACTTGGGCACTAAAATCGCTTCCAACCTCCAACTCATCTTCCAACTTAAAGCGGAACTATACTCACCTTGGTTCCATTGGTGGGGCATTCTGAAGCTCCCCGCCCACCTGCTTACATTTTTGGGTGAACACCTTTCAGGTCTTGAACAATAGCCACTTTCACTGCCGGGTGGAGATGACATCACTCCTGTGCATGCTTGGGAGTTCAGTCAGATTCAACATTGCTGACTTCATATGGTGAGCTGCGCTTGTGCAGCTCATTGTATAAGGGCAGACAGGTAGGTTAGTAGCTTTAAACACACAAGACACAAAGCATGTCATTTCTGGATTAAACACCCTGACTGGTTTTTTTTTTTTTTTTACCTAAAACTCCACTAACTTTCAGCCTTTGCTGTGAACTACAGCAGCTGACCTGGAGAAGTGGCAGTTCTTAGTGATCTCCTGGTTTGGAAGCTGCATCGTGCTTAAGATGAACATCATGCCACGTCTCCAATCTTCTATGGGCCCTACCCATTAAAATACTACAATTGTTTTTCCAAGCAATCAGAGCAGCATTTATCAGGTACGTTTTGGCAAAGAAAATCATCTAGCCTCAGAAGAGCACTTCTACAGCATCCCAAACTTAGAGGCGGTGTTGGCTTCCCAGATCCTGCCCTATACGATACTGCCATATACATGACTGGAATGATCGATTGATCCAAGCACTCCCCCTAAAAGCTTTGTGCTTCCCTATAATAGGACACAATTCCATTCCCCTTAGTCGTCTTCCCTGGACAGGTGTCCAACGCTCCAATATCCACTAATCTCATCCTTTAATAGACCAAACATTGCTTGAACTTGGTAAATAATCATAAACTAGCAGCTACACCAGCCTTTCCTTCCCCATTGACACCCATTATTGGACATCCAGACTCTGCCCCGGGGTGTACGGACAAAGTCTTTCAGCTCCACCCAGACTCAGGCTTAGTTAGGGCCACCTCTTTCTTATGCCCTCTGGAGCTAGGCCCACCCTTCTGATGTTTTCAGCTACCTTACCACCTCCACCTTGGGTAGAGGAAATCTGTTACAGCTCTCCTACTTTCTACATTCTCTTCCGGACTACAAGGGCTTCCGCAGAAAACGAACCCAGTTTGAAGATCTCTGCCTTAGCGAAGGGCCCATACATAAATAGATTTCCTCTTCCTATCATATCCTGCTTGATACAACTTTTCAGCAAGACCCCCTCTCATACTTGCATAAGGGGGAATGGGACAACATACATTTTCAATAAAAAGAACTGCATACTCTCTTTTAGTTTACAAATCTTCGTTATGTAGCAAATACCAGAAACTGCATTTAAATTCCTGAGGCTTTGGTATAGGAGTCCTTCAAATCTTGGCTTGTTTCCCCAACACAGCCCACAAGGTTAGCATGATGGCCTGGGTGCCAAATCGTCAATCCACATATTCTGGGAATGCCCTAATACGCACCCTTTTGGGCAATAAGATTTCCAGATTGTTCATAAACTTACAGATTTTTCTCTCTTTGACAACTCTGCTGTGGTGCTGCTCAACTTAACTCCGATGTCTAGAAAGAGATATTGCTAGAATTCGCTCCTAAAACACTTATTGAATACCACTAGGGCCTGCATCCCCTGCATGAGGAAACAATCTCCTCCCACGGTGTCTCAATGGTTTGACATCCAAACACGAAACTTCTGATTGCAGCCCTCAGAGACAAAGTAGAAGAGCATAAACACAGGCTGGCTCTGTTGGGACTTGTGTAGTTTTTCAGATGAATACTTACTGCTGCTCTGTGGTTACTCCACTTTTTGGACACTGCCTTTCTGCACCGTCAACCATGCTGTGCACTCCGGTCACCTCTTCCTCCATAACCTTTGACCCCTTTCCCACCTCCCATTTTTTCCCTCTTCTCTATCCATCCTTGCCTCCCTCCCATCTGGACACCTGGTTTTGTCACTCACCCTGATTTTTTTTTTTTTTTTTAAATGCGGTTTGGATTGTGTGGATGACAAGGGTATGACTGACTGTTTCCATGTCTACGGTTATACACAGCATAGACGTATATTTACACCATCTACATATCTTCTTATCATCACGAAAATTTCCTGTTGATGGCCTTCTGTAACACACAAGCCTCCTCTGTATTGGCTGTTGAATATTGGCAATGTTAAAAGACCCTGTTAAGTTTTTTTTTTCTTGAAGACAGTTTACGATGGTCTTACACCAGATTTCTTTGCTATGTCATATTATTGTATTTTGGTGCATTCAACTAAATAAGGGGTTTAAAAAAATGCTTAACCAATGAGGTACTGTAAACAGAGTAACCTATACAACAGAAATTACCTTTTTCCACAGTAAACAGTCATCTGATTGGATGCTGCATGTTACTGTACATTTCATTCCTTTACTTAAGAAGGCATGCGTGTCTGAATTGAGAAATAATGAAAACTTGTCTAGCCATTCTTTTGCTTCTGCATCTCATAAGAACATTCTGATGCAGAAAAAAAAAATCTGTTCTAATTATGAAATAGAAGCTTTTATCCATTTCACTTTATGCAAAATATCCCCTTAATCGATAGGATGTAGCAGAGATGACAGATATAACATTTTTCATGTGGCCAGGTCCAGGATAGATTAGGTTCAGCGTGATTATGTAAAAGTTTATGTATTATAGCTCAACTCCAACTCTATCCCTCCCCTCTCTTTTCATTCCACCACCAGCCTTGGGGCACCCCACTTTCATTTTTTTTTTTTTTTCCCTTCACTCTTTATACATGCCTTCTGCCAGATGTCTTCAGTCCAGTTCCATGGAGTCATGGGTTCTCTTTCCTCATTTGGAGGGTACTGAATGCAGGCAGGGGGTTGAGCAACACTGGGCCTCATTAAACCCTCCAGAAGATGACAAAACGCTGGATCACAAAGCAATGAATATGTGAAAAATAACACTGAAAGGGAAGGTGGGGTGTAAAGTGAGAGCTGCTTTTTATTTTTAAAGGAAGATTGAATGTTTGGTTATTTCAATTTATTGGTTAGGAAAGGTAAGGATTAAGTTTTATTCTTCATGGGAGACTAAAAGGTAAAATGGACCTAGACTTTGGCAACCTTATCCAGTGTAAAACAGGTCAGCAGAGAACAATATAGCACTTACAGTAGGCATTCTGAAGCTGCCCTTCAGTCAGGCCTAAATTATCATTCTATTAACAGGGCTTCTGTTTGTGCAACAGCCACCATATTAGCAGAGATGCAAGCTATCACCAGGCAGTTCTTCCTCTTCCTAGAAGTGGCCCCCTGATGAACACGTTTAATGTGATCTAGTTATCAGAATTAGGAATGGAGGGGGTGGATGAATATACCTTTGAAGATGTCACAGCACTGACAGACACTTGTGAATAGAGTGTGCAGGCACTTTCACATGTACAAAAGTGATCTGTAGCTTCTGATTGATGAATTTTATACTAAAAAAGGTACATTGCTTCATTGACTGCTTTGTCCCATTAAAATGCTGTGCTAATATTTCACTTTTAAACAGCTAAACTTAAAGCAAATCATCACTCTGACCATTCAGGCCAAAGCAATAGGTTTGCTTTTATGCACAAACTTTTTCTTCTCTCCTCTGCTGCTCCACCCAGTGTTGGAAGCAGAATCCATAGCCCTGTGGAAGCTGCAAGTTGCCAGAGTTGTAACTTTCAGAAGGAATTTTGTTCACTGCCAATGTGCAGGGATCACTGTTCTCATAGTCCAATGACACTTCCACCAGCTCAGCAACTGAAAGCCTGTACAGAGATACAGACAGGGAGCTGGTGGAAGAGTTTGCCGGAGCCTGACAATGCACCCACGATCCATTGATCGTGTGTGCAATGCTGTGAAGGCTCCTGTGGAGAAAAAGTGCACATTTCTTCCTGCAAAACTTGGTAATTATAAAGGTGACGTTAGCCTTTAACCATTACAGTCTGCTTAGAGAAGTTATGAAAACTCAGGGAAACCAAAAGAAGCAGAAAGCTCAGCACAACTATTATGCAAGCATTTCAGCCCAATTTGTCTTTTCTTCAAGGGCCACACTTCTGCTACTCAAATGTAAAAGGGGGCTAAGCTTTACGAACAGGCCCACTATATAGGATGTATATGCCAAATGCATTGCCTTCCACTTTAATTAAAGAGAAATGTGAATATAGCGCCCTCTAGTGGCAAAATAGAATAATGCATCAGATCAGGAAAGCAAGCAAAGCGCGATTCGTGAGCTGCTGGGAAAGGAGATGCAAACAGTGACATGTCATGTCCAATAACTCCACAACAGACCAGTCATGCCTGGTATAAAAATATTTATGATTAAAAGTAAATTATTATGGTTCTCCACAGCAAAATCAGACCATCTCTTTTCATACTCTCATACTGCACTCGTCTTACAGAAGAAACTAGTTGCGAATGACAAGAAAACCAAATTTAGAGACTTTGAATCACTAAATTCAATCAGATTCAATGATAAGAAAGTAAAAAAATGCATTCACGCCCCAAAGGAAGCAGGCATGCCAATGTAATCCTTTATTTTGGTGGGCCCAACAAATGCTTTTTTGTGCCCCCACAATGCATATTACTAACCTTGAAAATAATGGCAATGGGAATATCTTCTGACAGTGTATTGTGCTTCAGGTAGAATCTGCCCTGCTTTACCACCAGATTGGTTCTGCTCTTCTTTTCATGGGTAGAACTGTAGGAGACCCACAAGATGACAATTACACCAAAAACCAATCACACCCCTACATTTTTTAATATGACCTAGAAAGCTGACAGCTAGAACTTGGTTGCCAAAAGACAACATATCTACCATCCTCTCACTTTTGATCAGCTGCTTTATCATGAGGTCGTACTAATTATAGTTACTGATAAGTGGCTGTCACCAGCTACTGTATATATGTAATGAAAATAAATGAAAGGCATGCAGCTGAGCCTGGTTGTGTGTTCCCATACCTAGATGAAAAATGTGTCTAAATAAATGTAGTCTTACCTACACTGTTAGCAATAGTGGTGGAACCCCTCAATGTGTGAGAAGGGGGACCAATTATTTAATGCAAGTGAACATAAATATGACGTATGATAGCAAAACAAAAAACACAGAAAAAATTATCCAAAGAAACCAACTTCACATATAAATAATGGAATAATGACACCTCCTACATGTAACCATGCAACCAACCTGGTTAAGCACCTGCACACAAATGAACAGAGCAATAAGGATACAGAAAAAAACTGAAAATATTCAGCAAAATCAAAAACACTGACATGCTGTAAATCTATGTGCACAGAATTTAGTGCACTACTGAATGTGAGCGGTTTTAATCTTCTAATAAAATTTGTAACTCTTTAATGGTAATTGCTCAATGGTGGCTTGTTTTTAACCCTTTTTCAGTCAAACATAAATACTGAAAAAAGAGTGATTCCATCATTACCACACATAATGCAGAGGAGTTCTGTGAGGATCTGGAGAAAGTCTTGCCACAGGATTAGACCCCTGTAAGGGGATGGCGCATTGGGAAATGTGAATAGGTCTCAAAGGAAGGCGAGAGTATACAGTGGGGCAAAAAAAAATATTTAGTCAGCCACCAATTGTGCAAGTTCTCCCACTTACAAAGATGAGAGAGGTCTGTAATTGGCATCATAGGTAGACCTCAACTATGAGAGACAAAATGAGAAAAAAAATCCAGACAATCACATTGGCTGATTTGGAAAGAATTTATTTGCAAATTATGGTGGAAAATAAGTATTTGGTCACCTACAAACAAGCAAGATGTCTGGCTCTCACAGACCTGTACCTTCTTCTTTAAGAGGCTCCTCTGTCCTGCACTCATTACCTGTATCAATGGCACCTGTTTGAACTTGTTATCAGTATAAAAGAAACCTGTCCACAATCTCAAACAGTCACACTCCAAACTCCACTATGGTGAAGACCAAAGAGCTGTCGAAGGACACCAGAAACAAAATTGTAGACCTGCACCAGGCTGGGAAGACTGAATCTGCAATAGGCAAGCAGCTTGGTGTGAACAAATCAACTGTGGGAGCAATAATTAGAAAATGGAAGACATACAAGACTACTGATAATCTCCCTTGATCTGGGGCTCCACGCAAGATCTCACCCCGTGGGGTCAAAATGATCACAAGAACGGTGAGCAAAAATCCCAGGACCACACTGGGGGACCTAGTGAATGACCTGCAGAGAGCTGGGACCAACGTAACAAAGGGTACCATCAGTAACACACTACGCCACCAGGGACTCAGATCCTGCAGTGCTAGACGTATCCCCCTGCTTAAGCCAGTACATGTCCGGGCCCGTCTGAAGTTTGCTAGAGAGCATTTGGATGATCCGGAAGAGGATTGGGAGAATGTCATATGGTCAGATGAAACCAAAATAGAACTGTTTGGTAGAAACACAACTCGTCGTGTTTGGAGGAGAGAGAATGCTGAGTTGCATCCAAAGAACATCATACCTACTGTGAAGCATGGGGGTGGCAACATCATGCTTTGGGGCTGTTTCTCCGCAAAGGAACCAGGACGACTGATCCATGTACAGGACAGAATGAATGGGGCCATGTATCGTGAGATTTTGAGTGCAAACCTCCTTCCATCAGCAAGGACATTGAAGATGAAACGTGGCTGGGTCTTCCAACATGACAATGATCCCAAACATACCGCCCGGGCAACGAAGGAGTGGCTTCGTAAGAAGCATTTCAAGGTCCTGGAGTGGCCTAGCCAGTTTCCAGATCTCAACCCCATAGAAAACCTTTGGAGGGAGTTGAAAGTCCGTGTTGCCCAGCGACAGCCCCAAAACATTACTGCTCTAGAGGAGATCTGCATGGAGGAATGGGCCAACATACCAGCAACAGTGTGTGCCAACCTTGTGAAGACTTACAGGAAACGTTTGACCTCTGTCATTGCCAACAAAGGATATATAACAAAGTATTGAGATGAACTTTTGATATTGACCAAATACTTATTTGCCACCATAATTTGCAAATAAATTCTTTCCAAATCAGCCAATGTGATTGTCTGGATTTTTTTTCTCATTTTGTCTCTCATAGTTGAGGTCTACCTATGATGCCAATTACAGTCCTCTCATCTTTTTAAGTGGGAGAACTTGCACAATTGGTGGCTGACTAAATACTTTTTTGCCCCACTGTATATAGAAAGGTGGAGGATCGCATGGTGGTTTTTGAAGTAGCCACACATTGAAGATTTTTACATTCACTGGACACTTGCTTTGCGTGTTTGTTTTGATTTTTGACAGACTTTATGTAACCAACGTATTCCACCCAATAAGAGTATTATTAGTGGGAAGGGGATCCCCACACTATTAAAATATATCAAGTGAATGAGCATTTAAAAAACATTTTTTTTTTTTAGTTTTGCTGATTATTATCAGTTTTTTTTCTGTATCATTATTACATTGTTCATATGTGTGCAGTTGCTTAACCAGGTTGGTTCAAGGTTACACGCAGAGTCATTATTTCATTATTTATAAAATACTCATATAAATATGAGTGAACTTGGTTTCTTTGGATTATTTTTTCATTGCTTTGTTTTTCTATCATACATTTATGTTCATTTGCATTTAATAAATTAGTCCCCTTTCTCACACATTGAGGGGGTTCCACCGCATTTCATCAAGTTCAATTAGCTGCCATGTGGTGCGAGGCAATGCCTCGCGCTGCGCTGAAAAATAAAAAAGTAGTGCATGCTCATACAATGCGGTTGTGTGAATCAGGCACACAATAAACAAAGCATTTTGACTTGTCATGCGGTGGAACTGCGTTGGAATAACCGCTCAGCGCAGTCCCATGGCATCTGGTGTGAATGGACCCTTAAGTGTCGGAAAGAGCAAAATTCATTTTTTGTTCCTAAATAAATGATTTTTTCCAAATTGATTTTCAAGTGCAAGTTTAAAGTGGTTCTGAAGGCAAAACATTTTTACCTTTTTGCATTTCCTGTTACTTAGTATTTCCAGATACTTAGTCCTGTATTAATCCAGCGCTCTGCCGGTCTGCCAGTCTTCTCTCCTCTCACAAGCTTGGCCATTGGCTCCTGCTGCTGTCAGTCAAATCCTGTGAGCAGGGGGCGGGATGCACACAGGATCGAGCCTGCACTTCTGCCTCCATAGCAGAAGAGGAGGAGCCAGAATTGCCAGTAGGGGGCCCCAGAACAGATGAGTATAACATGTTCATTATTTTAATGAAAAATACCTTTACAACCACTTTAATGAGAATTGTCTGAAAGGTAGGCTAAGAACAGATTTTATTGTGACCAGAGGATATAGCCCCTCATGGATAAAGAAATTCACACACCTTGCTATCCAATCAAAATAATCCCAATTGTTCATCTATGAAAAAATTAAAGTGGATGTGGGCATTCTTTCAACCAAATTTCCAATTTTACTTTTCAAATATGTTGTTAAACATTCCATGTTTAACTAATTTCCAAACCCAGCATAGTGTACTATACCACCACAGTTTGTTAAAACTTCCTTCCCACATACAGTTTTGTTGCGTGGTAAATTGTCGTTTTGTGACCCTCCACAACAGAGCTTCCACTTCCTCTTTGTGGTAGCAGGTAGTACATGTCTTTTGCAGACACAAGCCCTGGTCTGCTCAAAACTACATTTCCCAGCCCTCTATGCACCTGACAATTCTACAGCGAACGGGCCCCTTTTTGTTATTTATTCAGGTCGATAGCATGGATTTCATCAAAAGGTGTTTTATTGTGCTACAAAATGCCGGCACTGGATGTGGCATATATTACTGCAGTCCTTTCAGGAGCTGGCAGAGGAGGATGGCTACATTCCCACATACAGTAGGACCATGCAGATCAAACAGTCACTCTCATAATGGAAGTGGGAGCTGAGGAGATTCACAAAGTATTTTTATGGATGGGCTGTCTTGACAATGCCAGACAAAGAGAAGAATGCCACTGAAGGTATTGAATATGATTTTATTTGTTTGCTTTGTGAATTTAGTGACTTTTTAAGGTTAATCTAAGATGACAGATGTGAGGCACCACTGGGATAAAAGTCAAACCAATGAAAATTAATGAGTAAAAAAAACTTAAATATATCTCATTTCCCAGTCACTGTATAAATACAAAAGGAACTCTGGACATCATGTATTAATAGCAATAACACCCAAGTAGTTCTAACCCGTTCCCCTCTACTCAAAACTAGAAAAATAGAACATTTTAGCTGGAGATCCACTCTAATAGTCTGTAACATATAGCTATACAAGTTATATGTATAAAAAAAATAATTCCAGGGAAGTACCTTTTTCTTCCTTTTAGGTTTTGGTCTGGAAGAGTTAGAAGCTCTGTCAGGTTTTTATTTCATTTCCACAAAACAGAGTTCTAAGCTCACCTATTTAACTGGAACCATTGTCAGTGTAAGGGAAAACGATGGAAAACCAAAAACTGTTCTGGCCAGTGACAACTGTTAAGGGTGGGAATTCTGCTTATTGTGGTAAGATTTCCATCTATGTTTCAAGAAAAAGGAGCGTGGATAACGTCACTGATAGAGAGACAGGCAGCCATGAAAAAAAAAAAAAGCACACACCACACACTCCTTTCACACATTGTTGTCACAACGAGGAGATGGACCACGTGCTACTGCAACACAAATTAAATACATTGGTACAATGAAGTGCAATTCATTCTGAATGGCACCTCAACACACCTTCTGATGGATGTGCCTTGTAATGCAACATTAATGCACTAACTCTTGTTGCTGTGCCCTGCCACAAAATAATGCATGAACCACGAAGGCCAGAAGTTTTATTGGGGTGCCACTCAGAATGAATGCTTCTAACTCTGAATAGAGATGAAAGGGTTAGGACCATTGTTAGGTTTTATTGATAATATTACAAGATGCTCAGAGAACTTTCTATATGTATACAGTGACCAGGAAATAAGGAGACTGATATATTCAAGTTTTGCTCATGTATCAGTTTGAGTTTTCTGTCACACCTGTTATCTTAGATTAAACTTAAAAAATGGAAATCAAACCAAAGCATTTAAACACATGTCGCATCCCAACCATGGCACCACCTGCCTAGAGTTTGCATGTTCTCCCTGTGCCTGCTTGGGTTTCCTCCGGGTACTCCGGTTTCCTCTCACACTCTAAAGACATGCTGGTAGGTTAATTGGATCCTGTCTAAATTGTCCCTAGTATGTGTATGTATGAATGTAAGTCAAGGACTTTAGATTGTACACCCCTTGAGGGTTAGTGACTGATGTGAATGTACAATATATGTAAATCGCTGTGTAAATTGATGGCGCTGTATAAGTACCTGTAATAAATAAATAAATGTCGCCACCCGTTGTGGTACAGAAGGGGTAAAACACCATAGTATGAACAGCCCAATAATCCAGAAAAAAAAAAAACAAAGTTCTTCAACCAGAATCATGACCATTATGAAGGTACAAAATCCCTCTGGCCATGGGTTGACATGGGAATTAATAAAACATAGTACTTGGGTCACAGAGAACCACAAATCAGACAAAATGCTATTTTTGATTCCTAATGAGCCTAGGTTACCATGCAATGTTTTAGAGGACATGGACAACAAATCGATAAGAGTGGTGCACAGAAACAGGTAACACTAGTGACTTGCAACAACTTGTACAAATATACTCTTCTGATTGTAAGCATTCTGAATAGCTATCAGAAATCAAAGATCTGCATATACCTGGTAACAGAGGCTCCAACAGTTCCTTTCCTGTCTGCTTCCACAATAATTCTGTTTTTAGACAGCTGCTCTTGAATTAGAATGACCTTTTCCACACCTTTAACAATAAAGTAACCACCTGCAAAAAAAATGGGAAAACATTCTTTACAAGGATGTACTCTACATTGCTCCACAGGTGAGACCATTTCTAGTTAACAAACATGCCAAGTAAGACCACCCTTCTGACATTTTTTCACTTGCATGGGCTGCCCACCCTATGCACATCTGTCTCGCATCAAAGAACCTCAAAGACCAAATTTTGGCCCTGAACCTGGCGTGTTTTGTCATGCTGCAAAATATAAATAAAGGGAACCCAAATGTGTGCCTCATGCTTTGTTGAGATTCTAGCATGATCTGGAAATTCAGGCAAAGTTGCAATTACAGCAGTTGTAATCCTCTCCTCCCCCCAAAAAATTATTGGTTGAATCAAAAGTTTCCATGCACAAAGCAACAAAGCACATGCACCTTGTGGGCCTTTCATGTTAGTGATGACAAATGGGTGTATTGAACAATGCTGCTCCATAAACAATTGGAAAACAAACAAACAAAAAAAAAAAAAAGACAATTTTAGCATATGATTTTTAAAACTGAAGTTTAATCGGATTATTTTTTTTTGCCTTCTCTGGTCTCCCTACCTCATCCCAGTACATCCAACATATTATGCAATGCTGGTAATCTAAGGATAATGTGAGGGCCCATCACAGTGCTGTACATACAGTGCCTTGAAAAAGTATTCATACCCCTTGAAATCCTCTACATTTTGTCATGTTACGACCAAAAACAAAAGGTATTTTATTGAGATTTTATGTGATAGACCAACACAAAGTGACACATAATTGTGTAGTGGAAGGAAAATGATAAATGGTTTTTGAAAATTTTTTACAAATAAATATCTGAAAAGTGTGGTGTGCATTTGTCATTTGAACCAACCGCCTTTAGAAATCATCTAATTAGTAAATAGAGTCCACCTGTGTGTAATTTAATCTCAGTATAAATACAGCTGTTCTGTGAAGCCCTCAGAGGTTTGTTAGAGAGCATTAGTGAACAAACAGCATCACGAAGGCCAAGGAACACATCAAACAGGTCAGAGATAAAGTTCTGGAGAAGTTTAAAGAAAAATATCTCAAGCTTTGAACATCTCATGGAGCACTGTTCAATCTATCATCTGAAAATGGAAAGAGTATGGCACAACTGCAAAGCTACAAAGACATGGCTGTCCACCTAAACTGACAGGCCGGGCAAGGAGAGCATTAAACAGAAAAGCAGCCACGACGCCCATGGTAACTCTGGAGGAGCTGCAGAGATCCACAGCTCAGGTGGGAGAATCTGTCCACAGGACACAACTATTAGTTGTCCACTCCACATATCTGGCCTTTATGGAAGAGTGGCAAGAAGAAAGCCAATGTTGAAAGAAAGCCATAAGAAGTCCCGTTTTCCAGTTTCTGAGAAGCCATGTGGGGGACACAGCAAACAGAAGGAAGAAGTTGCTCTGGTCAGATGAGACCAAAATTTAACTTTTTAAGAGCAAAACGCTATGTGTGGTGGAAAACTAACACTGCACATCACCCTAAACACACCATCCCCACTGTGAAACATGGTGGTGGCAGCATCATGTTGTGGGGATGCATTTCTTCAGTAGGGACAGGGAAGCTGGTCAGAGTTGATGGGAAGATGGATGAAGCCAAATACAGGGATCTTAGAATAAAACATTAGAAGAAAACCTGTTAGAGTCTGCAAAAGACTTGAGACTGGGGCGGAGGTTCACCTTCCAGCAGGACAACGACCCTAAACATACAGCCAGAGCTACAATGGAATGGTTTAGATCAAAGCATATGTGTTAGAATGGCCCAGTCAAAGTCCAGACCTAAATCCAATTGAGAATCTGTGGCAAGACTTGAAAATTGCTGTTCACAGACGCTCTCCATCCAATCAGACAGAGCTTGAGCTATTTTGCACGTAAAAATGGGCAAAATTTTCACTTTCTAGATGTGCAAAGCTGGTAGAGACATCCCCAAAAAGACTTGCAGATGTAATTGCAGCGAAAGGCGGTTCTACAAAGTATTGACCCAGGGGGGCTAAATACAAATGAACGCCACACTTTTCCCAATATTTATTTGTAAAGAATTTCGAAAAACATTTATCATTTTCCTTTCACTTCACAATTATGTGCCACTTTGTGTTGGTCGATCACATAAAATCCCAATAAAATAGATTTACATTTTTGGTTGTAACATGACAAAAATTTCAAGGGGTATGAATACTTCTTTCAAGGCCTCAAATACTACCTTGATGGGTGGATGTCAGTCTGGAGAAGCCAGCAAATTTAGACAGACTGTATTTCCATGCAGACCACCCTAGGTAACACCCACATATGATGCTGAGCCTCCATGATTTAGAGAACTAAAACCCAATAAATGAAAGGGCGAGCCAACGACATTCAGGTTGGGGCTAAACTAAGCATAAAGTCCTCCATCCAGGAAAGAAGACAAGTTCTACCTAACTTAAAGCATCTTCTAATGCACATCAAGAAGCTCAAAGACTGCAGAAATTGAGTAAAAAATTCCAATACCAGAGAGGAGCCTGTACAACTGCAAGACTGAAGATTGGAGTTCAGCTAATGTGGGAATCTACAGTACAAGCGTATGCAACAAGCTGCTAAATTTTTTCCTTCTAACAGCAGCATCCTTTAATGCATCTAAATAAACATTTCCCTACAGAAGAAGGTCTTCTCTGACCTGGATCCAGAGGGCATTCATTTAACTTGGCAAACTCAGCTGGAGTCTTCCCTGTCAGAACACAGTTGGAACTGCGAAGCATAATCGGCATCCTGAAATTAAAAATAAAACATAAGAAATGTCAGGGAGAGCAATCCAACCGGAATAAAAATAAAATAAAGCTAAACATGTATAGAAATTCACAAATGTGAAAAAGTTCTGGAAGCTTATCGGGACTGCTGACATTTCAAATTATATATGGTTGTACCTTAGGATCATAGAGGTAGCAAAGGTTTATTGTGGTACTACCTCTGGTCTGGTTTTAAAGCAGAACTCAAAGCAAAGATCCAGTAGTCTTTACTGTTCTATTAAAAAAAAAAATCTACCACTAATGAGGTGTATCCTGTGCCTAGGATCACTTCCCAGTCTTGTAAATTTACACTTTAATTCAGCCAGATAGGATAGCTGAAGTGTACATTTATAGGAACGGGCAAAGATCTTGGCCATGGGGTATACCTCATCAGAAGTAACTTTTATACACACCAGTAAAGACTAAAAGCCATTTGCCTAGAGATCTGCCTTAAAAGCAACCTGAGAGAGAGATATATTGTGGCTGCCATTGCTGACCATCTTCTGAAAATCCAAGTTGCCTGGTTATTCTGACCCCTTGGATTAAAATTTAGCATTCAGCATCAGATAGGTTTTGACATTTCTATGACTGCTGATCTGTATACATGTCCCAGGCAAGTGGGTAATTTTTTTTTTTTTTTTGTAAACAGAAGGTCCTGATTTGGCAAAGAAATGTATAGCAGGGTGCATCCACAACACTGATGGCAGAAATAACTTGGCTCCAGCTTATTTCTGTGTCCACACTGGAGAGATTCTGTTCCTGATCTGGTGACCATTCTGCAAATGATTCTTCATTTTCAGGTATTTTCATCAGAATGCAATGTATATACAAAACGGCAAAGTTATAAATATTTATTTTAGAGACTGAAGTGTCAATAAATCCAAAAAATATTCTTTACAAAGAGTTCCCTTTCATTTCCAGTCCAGGCACCAGAACTCTCCCCAAGGAGGCTATACAAGGGAAGGATTCAAATCTTTCTCCACCCCCATCCAAAAACTTTGTTGCATGACACTTTGAAATCTCATTGCTTTTTGTCACCTGCCAATTGGTAGAGCATTGCGGATAATCCTCTGACTTCCTCTGGTATATTCAATATCAACTGTGATAGGAGCAGAATATGTCATGTCTCGCAGACGACACTGGGAGGATAAAACAAAGGCAGAATGGTTTTGAAGATTTCTTAGAATAAAACCTAAAGCCAATAAAAAAAAAAAAAAAAAGACCAAATATTAATTCATGCAAGATTTCTGTACCTCATGAGGAGACACTGGTCGGGTGACATTGAAGCTTTCTTCAACATCTGGAACTCCAACATATATATTGAGGTACCTTTTGGGAAAAAATAAGGATACATTAATGGCAACAAATAATCAATCGTTGAACATTTATTCGGTCAACAATGTTTTAAACAAGAACTCCAGCCATTTTGTTTCCACTGAGCAGTGTATAGGTAGGTTGGTTTTACTGCGGTCTGTGTCCTTGTTGGAGATGAAAACTGTCAGATCTAAAGCTGACCATAAGCTATGCAACCTAACTACTGTGCAATCTCATTCAGATCTACCAACAACTATGTAGTGTAAGGACGTTTGAGATTTGATACAAAAGCTAACGTATTGTTTAGGCTTGTCCTCATATTACAGATCTAAGAAACTCTACGAGAGGGTGTGTAGAGATTGAAACGTATTTGGCCAGCATAACAGAGATGCAGAGAGCAATAAAAACTGCCAGAGGTTGTAAACTTTATTCACATCATAAAACATCTGAAGTGAGTTTCACTATAAGACAGAAAGGCCAGTCAATTTACTCATCATGAAATATGCAGGCTGCGTTCAGTGACCTTTACTGCTGAAAATGCCAATGGCATGGTTGCTATGCTGAAGCTCTAGCCTCAGTAGTTCAAGATTCTGGTGTGGAAGTATAAAAAAAAAAAAAAAAAAGGGATCAGAACTTGCTGCAAAATTATTTAAGACCCAGATGTACTGAAGGCATGCACCCACAGTTTTCAGAGGAAGGTGAGAAATGGCAGCTCTCATATCAGGTGTACCTAAACCTAATGCAGGCCATAGATGGGTCGAAAATCAGCAGATTTTTCGTCCAAAAAAAAAAATTTGGCCGATTTTCGCACCGTTAATGGGTTAATTGGTCAGCCATTTGTCTGGATTTTGGCACATTTTTTTAGTCGGTAAAGTTGGAAAAAAATCGGCCGATCTGATTTTTTTACCGATAAAAAATCTGCGCATGAGCCGTGACCTGAAAGAAGAAGAAGAAAAAGAAGAAGAATTCCAGTCCGCTAATCCAAATAAAAACATCTGTATCCGAAATGGATACAAATAGATACAATGTTGCAACCGCTATACTTTTTAATGTCAAATATAACAGCGGAGCTCTCTGCAGGGACAGAAGTAATTAAATGCCGGCCATAGACGGGACGAAAATCGGCCGATTTTTTTTACCGTTGGTGGTAACGTTGGCCTATTGAACGACCGATTTGTCATTTTTTTTTGTTAAAAAAACGGCTGGTTTTCGACCCATCTATGGCCTGCATGAGTTTTATAAAATCCACATAAAACCTAGCATCAATTTTCCTTAGCTTCTTTAGGGCTGCCAATATACCAATTAACCTATCTTCTAGGATAGTGGTTCAGAACCTTACCTCACTTGCATATTTCTTGGCAGTCCATTTCCATAAATAGTGCCACCCCAATCACTCAGTACCACTGATGCCACCAGAAACATGTCAACAAGCGGTATACTTTAAAACCATTGAATTCTGTAATAAGTGTACTTTTACAAACAGAGCCACAGGAGCACCAGGACCCAAACTAAATGTAACCCAGTGCTGACAAACTGTAAATGTCTTTTGATTCAGAATTATACAGCCCGTATAATCTTCCCAAACATATTGTCATATATTTGAAATGCTACAATTTTGGCCATATACAATTTGTGTGTACACACACACACACGCCGTATTTTCCGGCGTATAAGACGACTTTTTACCCCTTGAAAATCTTCTCAAAAGTCGGGGGTCGTCTTATATGTCGGTATACGGCATACTGACACTTTTTAGGGGGGCGGCGCGGTGCCGCCGCCGCCCCCCCCCCCTTCCAACGGAAGGGACACTAAGTACAGGGGTGGGCAGGGGCTGTTTCTTACCTGGCTCCGGTCCCACGACGATCCGGTCCAGGAAGCACGGCTGCTCCTTCAGTTCGGCCACTGGATGTTCACGCGGCTGCTCGGCTCCGCCTCCTCACCGGTGATTGGCCGCCAGAACTGTAGCTCAGGAAAGGCACACAGGCAGCCAATCACCGGCGAGGGGGCGGAGCCGAGCGGCCCCGCGAAAATCGAGTTCAGGAGCAGCAGGTAAGTGTTCAGTGTAGAGGTGCTGCTGCGACCACATATGCTGGTTGCAGCAGCACCATACTAGAACAGGGTCAGCAAGTGTAATTGGTGTCAGTGGGAGGAATAGTGCCCCATCACTGGTGTCACTGATACCAATGATGGAGCACTATTCCTCCCACTGACACCAATGATGGGGCACTATTCCTGCCACTGATACCAATGATGGGGCACTATTCCCCCCACTGATACTAATGATGGGGCACCTATTCCCCCACTGATACCAATGATGGGCCACTATTCCCCTGACACTGACATACCAATGATGGGGCACTATTCCTGCCACTAATGCCAATGATGGGGCACTATTCCTGCCACTAATATGCCAATGATGGGGCACTATTCCTCCCACTGATACCAATGATTGGGCACTATTCCCCCCACTGATATCAATGATGGGGCACTATTCCTGCCACTGATACCTAATGATTGGGCACTATTCCTGCCACTGATACTAATGATGGGGCACTATTCCTGCCACTGATACTAATGATGGGGCACTATTCCTGCCACTGATACTAATGATGGGGCACTATTCCTGCCACTGATACTAATGATGGGGCACTATTCCTGCCACTGATACTAATGATGGGGCACTATTCCTGCCACTGATACTAATGATGGGGCACTATTCCTGCCACTGATACCAATGATGGGGCACTATTCCTCCCACTGACACCAATGATGGGGCACTATTCCTCCCACTGACACCAATGATGGGGCACTATTCCTCCCACTGACACCAATGATGGGGCACTATTCCTCCCACTGACACCAATGATGGGGCACTATTCCTCCCACTGACACCAATGTTGGGACACTATTCCTCCCACTGGCACCAATGATGGGGCACTATTCCCCCCACTGATACTAATGATGGGGCACTATTCCTGCCACTGATACCAATGATGGGGCACTATTCCTGCCACTGATACCAATGATGGGGCACCTATTCCCCCCACTGATACTAATGATGGGCCACTTATTCCCCCCACTGATACTAATGATGGGCCACTATTCCTGACACTGATACCAATGATGGGGCACCTATTCCCCCCCACTGATACTAATGATGGGGCACTATTCCTGCCACTAATGCCAATGATGGGGCACTATTCCTCCCTCTAATATCAATGATGGGACACTATTCCTCCCACTGACACCAATGATGGGACACTATTCCTCCCACTGATACCAATGATGGGGCACTATTCCTGCCACTAATACCAATGATGGGGCACTATTCCTCCCACTGGTGTGCATTGGAAGAGGGGTAGTCTTATACGGCGAGTATAGCCCAAACACTACATTTTAGCAGGAAAAGTAGGGGGTCGTCTTATACGCCGGCAAATACGGTACATACACTGCATGTTGAAATGCGTTACAACATTAAATAAAATTAAAAATTTAAAAAAATATGAAAAATATTTTTAAAAATACATTTCAAATATGCTGTATGTCTTTAACCCCTTCCCACCAGCGCCTCCCGGCCCATTAAGAGTTTCAGACACTGGGAGGCGAGTTGGGCGTGGTTTAGGGATCATGTGACCGCCGTGACGCGTCATCACGGCGGTCCCAAGATCGGGAAAGGTCCCGATCTAAAGAGCAGACCGGGACCTTTCTGTGAGTACCGGACATATGTGCTGGGAGCGCGCACACTCAGCACATATGTTTTTTCTTACATGAACGCAAATGTGTGGCCGCTCGGCGTCTAGGTCCAGGCGACGGGAGGATGCACATTTGTGTGCGGCTGGCGTAAAGGGGTTAAAAATACAAATCTACATTTTTGGAATGCATTTACAAATATATATGTTAAAATTACTTTTTTAGATCTTAAAAAAACTCTGAATATATGTTTAAAAAATATACTTTTACATATATTTGTAAATGCATTCCAAAAATGTAGATTTGTATTTTTAAAGACATACAGTATATTTGAAATGTATTTTTAAAAATATTTTTCATATATTCTGTAATAAAAATGCATTTCAACATGCAGTATATAGATATACAGTTGCAAGAAAAAGTATGTGAACCCCTTGGGATTACGTGGAGTTTTGCATGAATTGGGCATAAAACGTACTCTGAACGTTATCTAAGTCACAATAGAAGAACACAGTCTGCTGAACATAATACTACACAAACACTAGATGTTGCCATGGTTTAATTGCACATAACATGTAAACATTCACAGTGCAGGGAGGAAAAAGTATGTGAGGCCCTAGCTTAATGCTTTCTCCCAGAGCTAATTGGAGCCAGGATCGAGCCAACCTTGACTCCAATCAGTGTGATGATATTGGATGTGTTGCTGACAGCTGTCCTGCCCTTAAAAAATACACACCTGTTTTGGGTTTACTGGTTTCAAGAAGCACTGTCTGATGTGAACCATGCCTCGCAGAAAAGAGCTCTTAGAAGACCTACGATCAAGAATTGTTGACTTGCATGAAGCTGGAAAGGGTTACGAAAGTATCTCCAAAAGCCTTGATGTTCATGTGTCCACGGTAAGACAGACTGTCTACAAATGGAGAAAGTTTAGCACTGTTGCTACTCTCCCTAGGCGTGGTCGTCCTGTAAAAATTACTGCACGAGCACAGCGCAGAATGCTGCATGAGGTAAAGAGGAATCCCAGAGTGTCAGCTAAAGACCTACAGAAATCTCTGGCACATGCTAACATTTTTTGTTGACACATCTACAATAAGGAAAACATTAAACAAGAATGGAGTACATGGGAGGACACCACGGAGGAAGCCATTGCTGTCCAAACAGAATATTGCAGCACGTTTGAAGTTTGCAAAAGAGCACCTGGATGTTCCACAGCACTACTGGCAAAATATACTGTGGACAGATGAAACCAAGATTGAGTTGTTTGGGAAGAACACACAACTATGTGTGGAGAAAAAAAAGGCACAGCACACCAACATCAAAACCTCATCCCCACTGTAAAA